GGTAGAAATTATTATATCTGCTACCTTTGACCGCCCTGTATAATGAATGAAAGAATAGAGTATCGTTTTCGATACTAACAATATTTCATTTGCATGGCGAGAGAATCACGGTTTTGAAAGGGTTCATATCCGTGCAGCAGGATAATTTATGTTATGTGAAAGTTCGAGTTTGTTCAAGAACATGTGAAAAATCGTTTATGGTTATTAATGTGAACAAGTTTAATGGAATTGCAGGTGACATTCGTAACGTTTTAATCATCTATCGTGCCTTGTCAACACAGAACAATCCTGAAATTAAAATTCCACTCTAATAGATGAGGTTATTATTGGAAACCTGATTTCAAAAGTATAAGAACTATTACAGGAGTTAGAGTTCCCAACATCAGAAGATATTATTTCCGTTTATTGTTATCTAAGAACAAATATTATTTTTCCATCTCGATTTTTGGGTTCAACATTTTGAAATATTGAATTGTAGCTCTAGGAATTATGTTTGGTATTGGGTTTTGTCCGTTTCAATGTCATGTGCTTTTTAAGCTCCATATCTCAATAAATACTTATTCTTCTGTGTTGACGAATATACTGATCGATAGAGAATTCAGCACTTTATATATTGATGCTGTTTACTTTTTTCAAATTTTATTTTTCTGCCACTTTTTAGCTTATTACTAGTTGATGTTGTTGTGCGATTTTCGGGCATTTCTTCCCTACGAAGCGCTGCCGAAACAGCCCGAAAAATCAACCAGGCATTTGGTAATGATAGGCAATGTTTGAAGTTGGTTTGCGAAATTTCGGAGATTTCAGCCTCGAACGTACCTTGTACCGAAAATTGCTACAACAGCAGCCGACACTGGTCAACAGAAGAGGTCCGCTCTTGTTCCACGACAACGTTTCACAAATCACCATCTAAAAATTGAACGAATTGAGCTTAGAAGTTAAGCATCATCCACCATACTCCCCAGACCTTTCGCCAATCGACCATCATCTTTTCCGCATCTCAATCAATTCGGTCGTTTTTGAGATTAGCTCGCATTAGATTCACAGACAAACAAACACAATTTTAAAAAAGCAATAATACTTTTTCTCGAATATCTTTCATGCACAGACAGCGCTACTCTATTACACTTTTATTATATGTATTGAATGATGTTTAGTCTAAATATACTGCGATAATTGTGTTGGAAAAGCTGAATATTCATTTAGGTTTGTTTCAGTTCAAATTAATACCACTAAAAATTATTATTCTGCTAGTAGTTTCAAATTTTTAGCGAATTTCAAAGATGCTCTTCTTTATTGTCACTTTTTTGTTGTTTTTGGTAGTAGAACAAATAGATAAATTATGAAATATTTCAACTTTGAGCCATTTTTCTTTTTATTTTGTTTTATAAACATATTTTAACAAGTTAGTTAAGAGCAGAATTCTTTTTTCATTGAAAATAAATTATTTAGTCATCAAAAAATTAGATACATTTGCATAAACTATTTTATACTAAATAGGAGTAGAGTCAATAACTGGAATTTTTAAACACAGTAGATTTGAAGAGAAATTTTCAGTTTTATGTTCCTATAAAAAAATAAATACACGTTTTAATCTACCTAGAAAAATTATGCAGCAAAGATGTCGGTTACAAACCACAACGATTTGTTTGGAAAACCTTTACCTTGGATTTTATTCCAAATTCCAAAATTAAGTATATCAAAGAAAATACCTGATTTGGTTTCAATTTAAAAATGAATCAGTGCATAACGGAATGTCAAAACTAGAATTCATAATTTGATAATTGGTTGGTGATTGCTATTTTGGAAGTGTCAGTTAAGCAAATTGAAACTGGCCAAAAATCACCTACTTCTAAATAAGTATTTTTTCCGTCGGACAGCATCCTCAAGTTGATCTTTTAGTTATCGAGTGTACGCGTTACACGCACAATAAATACCCAAATCATCTCTCCATTTTTTTCTGAAGAGAACCGAACTCTCTTTCGAGATCACGTTTTAGTGGGAACGTTTTTTTTTGAATAGCAATCATAGGTAATTTCCGTAAAATAACTCTGGTTTGGTTGTCTCTAAAGACGCGTACCTAATTTGAATTTCGAAATCTTATTTTTGGGATGAGAGTTTTTAGTGGAGTTATAATTGGAAATAAATTAAACTGAAATAAAATGATACTGGGCATAAATAATGATTGCGTCGGGTTTAAAATTAACAGTAATAGTGTGGTGTGAACAGATAGCATAAACAGTTCGACTTAAAATAATACTCCAGCAAAAGAAGTTAGTATACGCATGATTATAGCAGAGGGAATTACCGTTTAATAACATCCCTACTCATCTTTCAGGAACTATATCATTAAATACCCGAATTCGACATTAGAGCATGGGGCTATTAATAAAAAGAAGAAGACTCGAATGCCCGTTTTTAAAATTATACCTAACTAAAAATTATTGCTCCTCGCAAAAATGATATGCAAAACACTATGCAATTTTGGCGTCTGTGATTCTGACCACTGCACGAAATAACTGGCTGAAACGTTTTTAAATATTAATAAGGACCAAAATGCATTCGTGCCAAGTAATTTTTTCTACTATGCGTTTTTGGACCAACACTTAATAATATAAATAAAATTAAAAACGTCCAACTACTAAAAACATAATAACAAGTTCACATTTGCAAATTGTGGTACCTGTGGGGTTAACCTACTGGCCCTATTAAACATGCTCAAGTTGTACAATTTTAGCAGTTTTTCAGTTCGGTATCAGTTATTATAAAATTGCTATTCACAATTATCACCAAGCAAGCAAGCTATTTCGATTGAATGCTTCAAGCGACGGTAACCGTTTCACCATCCGATAGGTTTGAACAGAAAATAATTATTTTCAACACTTTCTGCAAAGCGAACACAAACTTTTTCTTATAATTATATATTAGAACATGTGTCATCAGCAGTTTCGGAATTACTCTCTGGATGACTTTTAGCGTCATTATTATTGTCAATTTACTTAATGACATTACTTAAGTACCACGACGGTCTTAATAGAGAACCAGTTGTTTTATTAGGATTCTACGTTCACTTCGAAATAAATACAATTTTCATCAGGAATTGTGTGCAACTCTGCCGCGTTGACAATTTCTCCAAATTGAATTATGTCTAAGTAGATTGATAACCCTTTCATTTTCCATTATTTTCTGTTAGTTATATAGTCAGAGTATGAATATAAGCAGAAAAAATATATAGATACTTTCATTCTTACTATATAGGTACATAACTCTCATAAGCAATTACGGAACAATTAGCAATATTATTCAGATAAACATATCGATCCCTCGGGGCTAAGAGAAATATACTGACTATAGTTGCATACATTTTAATATACAGTCTGGGAAAAGTGGATGCATATTATTGAGTGCTAGTCCAGAAATCATGGATTCTTTCGTTGACAAACATACCATTGCTACTGTTAGACGATTATGGCTTTTTGATTGGGTAGTTATGTGGAGGTCCATTGTAACTATAAATTCATAGTTTGGCGAAATAAATAAATGACTCCAAATGTTCGGCCTATGTACAGTACCTTCATTACCAGTGAAATTGTATGAATGTAAACATTACTGAGATTAGCTAGGTACCGTAGGTATTTTATTTTCGAACTAGTTCCTGAGACAGAATCCAAACAACCTCTCTACTCGCCTGGTTCTGTATTGTGAACGAGCTGTGTAATACTGTTGAGAAACCCTACAACTACTGTACTTATGAAAGACGATGATACAGTTCATGAAGAAACAATTGAACCAATTTTACGGGTCATCATTTCTGATCATAATGGAACAGAACTTGTTGATGAGTTATTTCTTCTTCATCCAGCCTAATTTCGACTTTGACAGTTTTCTTCCACCATCAGAAAGAATTCGTAGGTCAAGTTTATCTCACTGTATCGTATCACTCGAAATAGAATTCACATTTGTTTACCTTGCAGTGTAAAAATGTTGTTGATAACGTAGGATAAAAGTTAATGTTTTGAGTTATGTCTTCAGATAATTCATATGATTTGTGCAAAACATGCAAACTTTGAGTAGATCGATGGAAATGACATATTTATGACTGATAAAGTATGTTTTTACAAGCAATAAGTTACTGAATTCGTTTTTCATTAACTACTTTGTTTTGGATACAAGATAACTGTTATATAAGATCCTAGACTTTATCAACCAGCGATTTATTGTTCATGGGAGTTCTGATTCTTCTACGATGTTCTATTGGTGAAACATGTTTTGGCGTGAATTACTTCAAATAATCCCTCAAACACATATTCATATTTTGACACTTCGTTCTTGAACCCAAAATCTTTTTAATAAAAGCTGTCTAGATGCACCTCATCTCACTTATTTATCCAACGGGGGGGTGTAATTTTATGTATTAACAGTATAATACTCCTGATTATAATCGTTTGGTTGATTAGGAATAACATATAATTAATTCCGATATCTGACAAAAAATTCTAGGTCCAGTAATGGTCTTTCTATCAATTTTTTTGTATTAACAGTATAATACATTCGTACCCACGAACTGATTATTCGAAAATCATTAATGAGTGATTTCCGATACTGAAAAAATGTTAAATTTTCCATATTTTTCCATAAACAGTTCTACTAGTTCCTTATTAGTTTTCATGTAAACAAACTGGTTTTCCAAACGATTGTTTGTCACCTGTCAATTCATTTCGTCACGAATTTGCTCCTGTTTTCGTATACCACTCTGTACATGAGCTTGTTACCGTGTTTCAGCCAGAACGAGCCAGTGATCAGGTTTTCACATACACACACATCTTTTGTGACAGTTGGGACTGACCAAAGTGACTGATGATGACCATAAAAAACGAAACGTACCTACGAATAATATCCTTTCTAGAAAACGACACTGTCCACCCAAATCCATGCAACACTTGAAGCACTATTTTGTCACACAAAACAATCGGGGAAATATTTCAAATGACAAGTCGAAACACTAAACTGACGATGTCAACTGCCGCATCAAGTAGCACCGGTTCAGGAGCACTGTTACTGAAGAGATGTCGCATATCGCATACCCAACTTGTCCAGAGCCGTAACAGAAGTGGGGGCAACCCAGCGTGCGCATGGTAGGCGTGGCTTCTATTTTAAGGGGGGTTGACAAGGTGGACGCACGGTGTAGGTGACGATACCCCTTTAGAGGGACATACTGTACCCCCCGTTATTCTCTGTCTTACCAATCGTTCTCTATAATACACGCATCCAAACTACATTCCGCTATCTTATTATAAAATCTATTCCATATCAGTTACGTAGAGAAAGTGTTATTCGATTTGTAATTATGCATCGCAGAGTATTTAATTTTTACTCCGCAGGATATGGCAATATTTGTGATGTCTTAGTTCATGCTTCACTCTATCGATCCTGTTGTCAAGATTGATGAATTTGACTGGGAAGCTATATACATTTTGTCACGAGTACTACCCCTTTAGAAACATCTGGCGAATAAGTAATTCTGTTTCTCTCACAATAATCTGAAATATACAGTAGTCTCTGGAAACAAAACAATAGTGTTTATAAGTGTTTCAATTGTTTGTCAGTGACCACAATACTAGTTTCAGTATAACCGATGAAGATATAGAATATAACACCTAAGCTATAGCACAGACTATGCAACTGTGTTACAGTGATACAGTTTGTAAAAGTTACCTACTTATCGCTAAACCTGAACTAAACTGCCTTGATAAAATCTACTGTGGCCAGCCCCATTTCCAGATTTCATGGACTCAACCAACTGATAGTGGTCCCAAAGTCTAGAGCAGTAGTGCTTACCATTTTATACGATAAATAGATTGAAAACTGACTTGAATACCTAATATCGACAAACGGTATGATAATCTACTAATAAACTGCTACCCGTAGTCCAGAATTTTGAGCTGGTTTAAATTGAAAGAGGGATATTTTTGGGAGAAATTGATTTTTGGGAAAGACATATCCTGGCTTCATACTTCTCCATGCAATTTTGCCATCGTTTTCATTGAATTGTGACTCTGTGTATTGTCTTGATGAAGCAGCATTTTTTTTTTCTTCAAACGGGGTCGTTTTTCCGCAATTTCCGCCATCAAACGCCCCAGTGACGCTATATAAATTTCACTGTTGATGGTATTTCTTCTTCTCAAGCTAGTCGATGAATATTACACTACTCATATCCCAAAATACCGAGGCCATAACCTTTCCAGCCGATCGTTGTGCTTTCGGTCGCTATGGTAGAGAGGTTCACCAGTTGCTCTCCACCCAGATTACGATCGTTTTGATTCCGAAGTGAGGCGATGGATCCACGTTTCATCCATTGTCACATATCGACGCAAAAATTTCGGTTTGTTACGTTTGAACATGGTCAAACACTGCTCAGAATCATCGAGACGTTGTTGTTTTTGATCAACAGTGATTTCGCACTTACAGGTAAAATTTCAGCCTTGGTTTCTGCATATTTGTACTGCATTCAGATTCATGAGATTCCTGGAAAATTTTGCTACAGTCCAACTATACATCAGCAAGAGGATTGTTAGCACCAAGAGTTAATAAGTCATTTATATCTATAGAACCAACATTTTTGTAGAAGACTCACCAAATATCTCTATAGAACGAATTGCACTGAAAAGATATATGTTTGAAAATCTTTAGAGTTTTTTCCCAACTCCAAACCGTTATTTCAACACCTCGACACGAGTTTCGATCACCAAGTGATCATCTTCAAGAGGAAGATTAGACATTTTGATCTTCCTCTTGAAGGTGATCATTTGGTGATCGAAACACGTGTCGAGGTGTTGAAAATAACGATTTGGTGTTGGAAAAAAACTCCAGTAAGATTCATTACTACACCAAACGTTCCAAACAGTGCATTACAAGTAAGTTGCTTCTTAGATTCACTGTCATGACTTTGAAACGGCATGTGTTTATTAATTTCTTAGATGTCTTCTTTTAGTAATGTAATCGTAATGTCAATTAAGACTAAGTATTGGAATTCTTCAACAAATTTAATTAACTGTCAATACAACTTGAATTTTACAACGAAGTTGTTATTTCGTTAACGCTGTACATGGTATCACCATAATGCAAGTGAAAAAAAACAATACGTGTGATAACTATTTATATCATTATGCACTAACAGAAATGATAGAGGCCCCAAGACATTACCCCGAGGCACACCAAATATACATAATTCTAGGGTCAGTTTTTTTGACTTATTCGCAGCCATAGAAATGATGAGTAATAAATTATAGTTATTACAAGAAATTACCAACAGATTTTCTAAATTCTGCCATTTCGGATATATGAAGGAAATTGTTATTTTATCTCTTCCGATGAAACGCCGTGTATCACTCTGTGTTGTAATCGCTCGTTTAGGCTGAGTGCATAAAGCTGATACAAACAATTCCATACAAATCATTGAAGTAATATAACACTATCAAAGTAGGGCGTATGTCGTCAACCGTCTCTTACTGCGATATAAATTATATTAGCATTCTATCTTGCTCAGCAGTTATTCAATCCAATTTGTTTGATACCTGCTAAAAGGTAACTATAAATTAGCAAAAATTGTATATGATCGTGAGGATATTGAATTGACTCATATATTGTGTTCTGCTTGGGTTGAAGGTTAAGTTTGATAGATTTTATTTTTGAGTGTCCCCACAGAAATATCAAGAGGTGATGAATCTGGTGTTTTTGAAGGCCATTTCATGCTGCCACTCTCAGTACAGTGCTGTGGAAATTGTGGCGAATTGTTGTAAGTCTGGGTGGAAATTTTCACCATATACCAAAACATATCCAGGGGAAATATAATACATTTATCAAAAATGATCTTAACCATCCTGACAAAGAGTTATAAAAGAGAAAGTGTACTTATTGAACTATATATGAACGTATCAGAAAAATCAGTTTTGATCAATTGAAAACAAAGGTTCAGCAGAATAAAAATAGGTAGTGAAGAAAACTACAGAAGAGTCGAATGTATATAGAGAAAATCATTAATGAGTGATTTCCGATACTGAAAAAATGTTAAATTTTCCATATTTTTCCATAAACAGTTCTACTAGTTCCTTATTAGTTTTCATGTAAACAAACTGGTTTTCCAAACGATTGTTTGTCACCTGTCAATTCATTTCGTCACGAATTTGCTCCTGTTTTCGTATACCACTCTGTACATGAGCTTGTTACCGTGTTTCAGCCAGAACGAGCCAGTGATCAGGTTTTCACATACACACACATCTTTTGTGACAGTTGGGACTGACCAAAGTGACTGATGATGACCATAAAAAACGAAACGTACCTACGAATAATATCCTTTCTAGAAAACGACACTGTCCACCCAAATCCATGCAACACTTGAAGCACTATTTTGTCACACAAAACAATCGGGGAAATATTTCAAATGACAAGTCGAAACACTAAACTGACGATGTCAACTGCCGCATCAAGTAGCACCNAAGTCGCTAGGTAATATAAGTTTGACCAACAGACCAACTGTTTGACATTAGTTTTAGAATGATTTCTGGACTTTCACATCTCCACATAATGAGTGGCGATTCATTGAAAAACACTTTGCAATTCGGTGTTCTTCCGGAATAGACTAATAAAGGTTTTTATTCATCATAAATGAAGGCGAAGTGTCACTTTACATTGTTTTTCGATGCAACCGAGGCTGAAATTATCGGTAAACTGTATTAGCAAGTTTTAATATACTATCATGAAATGTTAAGTCAGTTCCGTTCAACAAATCAAGGCATAATATCAATCTGATGTTCGTGTCCCATTCAAAAAGAGGAATGATTATTTGGTTTCAAATTTTTGTTGCCACCGGCACCGTATCATTTCTTGTTAGATACGGCCAGAGTAGAGATCAGTTTCAAGATTGTCTCTAACCGGACAATTGTAATGATTTCTTTTTTCAGATATTGTCATTCTCATAGATTTGTGAACGCTCTCCGCATGATTTGTCACCTTTTTGTGTATTTCAAAAGTTCATTAGCCCAGGCTCGAAAGAAATGTTTTTAAAACTGTGGGAAGAAAACAGAGGTTGAAACTGAGTTTTCTTGTCGTTCCTTCATAATTGACAACGTTTTGAAGAGTGTGTGTTTGGAAGATAAGTTTGTGGCAGTTTGAAAAAGATTTTTTGTTGATCAAAGAGAAAAGAGGATAATCATAATTACATTCATCTGAATTAACTTCAGCAGCAGGAAAATTCTAAAAGAAATCTTATTAGTACCCAAAAATCAGCTGAACCAGTTGCAGTATCATTCCTCACTTTAAATCAGAATTGGAACAATTTTAGTTCACACTCCACAGTCCACCAGTGCACACAATTTTCCGCAATGATACTGGTCGAAGGGTCAAGCTGGCAACACTGATACGAGAATATATTCAATTTCGGTGAATCGAGAACTTCTGGAGAGGATAAGTCCAAGCTGGTCTTCAACATCATCAGCACAACGTAGAGAAATTCACAATTTCATCACCACCAATGGGGACTGTTCCTCAATTTGGGTTATTACAGCAAATGCAAGTTTCAACAAAATGAAGTTAAGTTTGATTCATGAGTTTTTCAAATTCATTTCGAAAAGTATTCAAATTGATGTTTCAAATGTTGGGTTTGAATTTTTAAACGGATTTGTTTCTAATTCACATATTGGCAACAGCGCCTGTATCAAGTTGAAATAATTTATACGTACCTAGATATTCTACTTTACAAAAAGAAAATTATCTTCATAAATCAACAATTGGAGCAAAATATAAATTATAGTTCAATACCACCTCCACAAGCCACATAAACAACAGTTGTTTTGTTATTTATTTATATAGAGGGAGATAGGTTAGGTGCACAAAATGTCATATGTCACAGAATGTCTCGGAATTCGGAACATAAGTAAACAGAACAGCACGCCTCTGAAATATGTCATCTTTGTTTGTCTCATACAGGTAACAGACTCATTGTCCTTTATTAGCTATAACCGATGTTGCCAAATGGTGAAATAGAAACGAATCCCTTTAAATGTTGAATGCATTATTT